ATATATAAACAAACCTGTGCACTTCTGAAATAAGTTTGATGTCTTAACTATTTTCTTCTTTGTAAATAATTTAATGTTAAACAGGCACCAGCGTCAGCAGCTGTGGATGCTTTAAAGGACCTTTCAGAATCAAATTTAATTGTCTTAAAGAAACAATCTTCCCCTAAATTTATTATATTTTATTAATTTATTTATCATAATGCAATGTGGCTACATGTCAAAGTATGAAATTCAAAGGACATAAAACGTGATTTGGACACAAAAACGAATCGAAAATGTTTTAAAACGGATTTCGTCTTGTGTATTACGAGCGGCCTCTGAAGGCAGCACCGGTGATGACGTCACGCATGGGCGTGTAGTCATGGCTGTGTGCAGCAAAAAACCTTTCAGTGTCAGTCTAGTAAATATGTATTAGTCCCAAAAACAAATCAAGTCAGTGTTGATGGTGGACAATAATATGGACTTTTATCCCACCACGGAGTAAAGATCATTGCTAAAGATCAGGTAAGTGGCCGCAGTGTCCTAAAATAAAGAAATTTAAATAAATATAAACATGAGTTAGCGAGCTAGCGTTACGTTAGAGACAGGCGACAGACACGACAGCAGACCTGCAGTCCTTCTAGACCCAAGCAGGATTCTGGTCACAGTTTTCCGTCCGAGTGTCGGTGCTGTGAAAGATAAGGCTGAGAAAACGGGCATTTGATTGAGGTGTTTCCAGTTTAATCCAAGGTAAAAGCCGTGCTGTCAAAGTTGCCTGGTAAAAAGCAGCCGTCTAATTGTGGGCGTCGCAGGAATGCTAACGTCACTTTGAGAAACACAAGTTAACGCCATAAATAGGAACGACCCTGAGTGTTTTAAGCTTTTTGAATTTGACGCTTTGTCTTTTTAAAAGTAGATTTTAATATGAGCAAAGGTGTCATTTCTACCTGAGATGCCGGCTAACACCGGTCATTTGATGGTTTCTGTCCATAACCTTCTTTTTTACTTCCCATTTCTGCCTTTTTTATTGCTATAGGGCCATTTATGAACTGTAACCTGACTTCATGCAGTCAAAACACGAAATCAACAGAGAAAGAGCTGATTAGATTTATTATCACTTTATGGGAGAACGTGTCATTTTTTGAGATTGTAACATTTTACCATAACTCAAAGAGCTGGTGTTTGTTTTATTCACACAAATGATCATTACTGTGATGAAGCTTTTGCTGCTTAGTATATGGGTTTGTAGTTTAGAGGAAAAATAGGGGATCGGTTGTGTTTGGTTAAGAAATTGGGGAAACTTGTGGAAAATGTCATGTTTGTGTAATATTGCTAAATTGCGTACAGGTTTTGTGAAACTTTACTTTGATAGTATTTTCAATTTCACTTCACTTTTAAACACTTTTTGTCTAAACTTCTAAAGGAACACTTCTAAAGCACAGGTGCATCCCCCCCAAAAAATTAGACTACTGTGAAAAAGTTCTATATTTTATGTCAGTCATTTCAGAACGTGAAACTCGTATATTATATAGATTAATTATACACAGAGTGAAATATTTCAAGCCTTTATTTCTTGTAATTTTGTTGATTATGGCTTGAAGATAATGAAAAAAATAAAATTCAGTGTCTCAGAATATAATATTCCACAGACAGCTTTTGGTACCTTTGTCAGTGTGGGCAGGAGGCATGGACCACTGAGCAACAGTCCAGTTCTGTTTCTCCTCAGCAGGTAAGACGCTTTTGACGTCACTGGTTCAGGAGTGACTGGACTTGAGGAATGAGATGTTTGCAGCTCATTTAAAATTCATCTGTGCACAGTCCGCCCGAGCTTCAAAGGAATGTGAAGGAAAATTTCTCACAATATTCTACTTTTCAGAGCCACTCACTTTTTTTTTTTTTCATTATCTGCAAGCCATAATCTTCAAAATTACAAGAAATAAAAGCTTGAAACATTTCACTCACCACATCACTGACACTGCAAGCGTTGCCTGTGCAGGGCGAGGAACATAATCAAGGACGTTTCTTATCATGACTATGGACTTTTCAGTCTTCTACCATCCGATAGGCGTTCCAGGAGC